TTAACTAGTGGCTAGCTCCAACCTCTGATCTTCAGGCAAGCTTTATTTGTTAGAGTACAAACAAGATATCACCACACCCCTCTAAAAATAAAAGTAACAAAGAACCCCAAATCCAAGTGTCATGGCTCATACCTTTAATCAAACTTTGGAGGCAGACAAAGGAGAATTGAAGCAAGTTCAAAGCCAGTTAGGCCTACATAGTGAGACTCTGTCTCAAAATCCAACCAAACAACCAAATAAAAACAAAAGCAAAGGAAACCACAAACTGAGCAATGACTTCTCTACCCCCTGCCTCTGACTTCCCAGGAAACAGGCAGTGTAGGCAAAGGCAGGCAGGTAGCAAGAATGTGAGTGTCAGGGTAGGCGGTGGATGCAGGGCAGAATAAAATGAAAGGAAACCTCACAATAACCACAAATCAAAGGCACACTTGCCTACATAGCTCAGGTGAAAGCCCCATGTGTCCTGTACTTTGGTCCTGGAAAGGGAAGTTGCTTGCTAGGTTGTGGGCTGGAGCTCTTTTAGACATTTGCACATGCTTGTGTGCGTGCATGCGTGCGTGTGTTCATGCAACCCTTTGCACCTGCAGCTTCCACTCCCATCACTTCGGTTATTCATTGTTCATGTGAGCTTTGCAGTGAGGCCTGAAATCCTTGTAGGTGCTGGGAACCAAACCTGGGTCCTCTGCAAGAATAGCTGGTAGTCTTAACCACGAGCCAACTGTTCAGCTCCTTGTTTGTTTTCTGAAACAGTATAGAGGTCAGAGGACAACTTTGTCTATTGTTTGGATCCTGGGCATTGAACTCAAGTCTTCAGTCTTGACAGCAGGTGCTGAGCCATCTGGCTGGTATCCGATTCCTTTATATTTTAACTTAATGTCTTTCCTGTGTCTCAGAGTTTCATTTAGCTGTTTTTCAGACTGCGTCTTAGACTTGTCTGAGATTTTTCTTGTTACTACACCAGGGCTATAGGTTTGGGGTGAAGACCATAGAGTAAGCTCCCTTTTCATCAACATTGGCCTTGGCCACCTACCTGGCTGGGAGAGCACTGCTCAGGCTTTGTCACATAAAGCTGCCCCTTTATTTCTGTTTACTGTGCCTTTCCCATAAGTCTGATGGGTTTCTTCCCTTGAGCTGCCCTTTGTCATCTAGGAGACAGTAGTTTGTAGCAATGGCAGATCCCGAGTAACCGGCACTTCCAGAACACATGACCTGTACTAAGATCTTCCTTGTGTCCCTGCTTATGACTCCTCAAAATAACCCGCTAACTTGGTCTCTATTTCAAAGAGCAGAATCTTCTACCACTAACCATACCAGAGCTGGCAAGACCAAATTAGGAGAGATGCATTCTGAGTTTGTGGGGACCTGGGCCTAACTGTGCAGATGCAGAATACTTGTTTTAGCCAGGGACCTTGCCAGCACCCTCTCTCTGGCCACTTTAAAAAAAAAATTACTTATGTTCATTGGTATTTTGCTTTCATGTACATCTGTGTGAGGGTGTCAGAAGCCCAGAATTAAAGTTATAGACAGGTGTGAGCTGCCATGTGGGTGCTGGGAATTGAATCCAGGTCCTTTGGAAGAGCAGACAGTGCTTTCAACCACCAAGCTACCTCTCCAGCCCCCTGGCCAGGCTACTTTTAACACCGGTTCTGCAGTGGTTTTCCTTCCTGGCTTCAGTTCTCATTAAACAGCCCACTCCTGGCCCTCCAGGGTGTCTAGTACCCACAGGGGAAGTGACCCAGACTTCCCAGTAAATAAACCTGCCCACAAATTCCCATATATACACAGGCAACTGTTTCCTCTTCCCACTGCTGGGAAGCGCTGGACTCCAAGCATCCCAACCTGCTTTGGATCCTCCTGGTGGTAGAAACCTGCACTGTGGTGGGACACAACAGAGGTAACAACAAAGTCATAAACTGAGCCACACCTGCAGACAGGGTCTGGATACACTTGATTTAACTTTCTGTAGTGCTGGGGATCAAACCCAGGGCTTCACACATGCAAGGCTGTCTGCTCTACCACTGAGTCACATCTGATGTTTGTTTGTTTGGACTAGTTCTTTTTGCTAGAGGAGTTCTTTTGTTTTCTTTTTTGAGACAGGGTTTCTCTGTGGCTTTGGAGCCTGTCCTGGAACCAGCTCTTGTAGACCAGGCTAGCCCTGAACTTACCAAGAGCTGGGACTAAAGGCATGTGCCACCACTGCCCGGCTTACAGGACTTCTTGTAATCAGGGTTAGCCTCCAACTATGTAGCTTAAATGCCTGATGTTCCTGCCTCCACTTCCAGATCTTTGCCATCAGGCCCACAAGATACAGTTTGAAAATTGCATTTTATTTCAGTCAAGCGTGGTGGCTCACACCATTAATCTCAGCACTCAGGAAGCAGAGGCAGACAGATCTTTGTGAGTTCCAAGCCAGCCAGGTCTACATAGTGAGTTCCAAGCCAGCCAGGGATCCTGCCTAGAAAAAAAAAAAATCAGTATATGTACTTGTGAAAACCAAATAATCTAGGGTTCCTGAGAGAATCTTTTGCTTTATCTCCTAGGCAGGCGCTGTCACAGGCGCCTCCTCTGGGGTTCCCTTTTTAGAGAGTACACTGGCATTGCAGTTTTTTGACTTTTCAAACATGGACAACCCATCACCTATTGATTGACTCTATCACATTGTGAAGGGTAAGACTTAATGCTCTCATGTTCCCCTCCCCAACATACACTAGAACGGTACTTCCCAGCCCTCTTGACAGTTACACTATGATTTGGTGTAATAAGTATTCACTGATTACATTATTATTATTTCAGGTTTATTATTAGTGCATGTGTATGTGTGTACATGCCTTCGTGTGTGTGTGTGTGTGTGTGTGTGTGTGTGTGTGTGTGTGTAGGCCAGAAGAGGTCACTGGATTCTCTGGAACTACAGATACGGGCAGTTTTGAGCTGCTGTGTGGGTGCAAGAACCAAATTCTAGTCCTCTGCAAGATTATCAAATGCTTATAACCACTAAATCATCTCTCCAGCTATTGCTGATTTTCTTTTAAGTTTTAATGATTTAATTGTTATTATGAGTGGAAACACTTTTCTGAGCTATATCCTCAGCTCCTGGAGACCCCAGTCTGGTAACAGAAATATACTTGGTTCTCATTTCTCCAGGAGATTCTCCTCCCATTATCCTCAATGAACAGCCCCAGGGAATCTTTCCAAGCTGGCCTTTCCAGAACAGCCTGCTGGGGCGCCCCTGTACTTCTCAAGAGAGGAACTCTCTGTCTTCCCTTCTCTGGACCCCTCTGTATCCTCAACTGGCCAGTGGTCCCTGCTTGCTTCATATTCAGGCAGTTGGCCTGAGTGGGCTTCTTGGGGAGCACAGCCTCTCATCCTGTCTGAGATCCTCACTGCTGAAGGAGCCTTGGAAGCAGAGGGATGGATTGACTGCCTGTCTTGGAGCTGTGGTGGGGCAGGCACAGTGGGTGAGGGGAGGTGCAGAGAGGAGCCAGTGTCTGCCCTCCTATTCCCGCACATGGCCTGAAGGCAGACTCCCCCTGGGAGGTCCGCACTGCCATCTGGTCTTTGGCCTGCTGGGCCTACTCTCCCAGATCCTGAAAGCTTCTCCCTGGCACCCGAAGCCTTGCCAAGACCAGGCATAGCCAAGGTGAACTGAGGACATGCCAGGAGTTCAGTGCCAGACTTCCTAAGACTTGCCTACAGCAGGCACTTCCAAGGGCTGGCCATGTGCTGCACAGCATGTGCCCTGGTCCATTGCATTCCCAGGTGCCTCCAGCCAGGGGCTGTTCTAAAACGTATTTCCCAGAGGTGGAGGTGAGTTTTAGGAAGTGTTCTTGCCCTACTGGCATGTGGGGAGACCTGTCTGGAACTGGTGAACCCTGGGCTCTGCTGTTTTACACGTATTAACTCCAGGAACCCAACAACTCTGTGGGAAGTGATAGCTCTTATTTTTATTCAACAGATAAGGAATTCAAGGCACAGAGATGTTGAATGACCTGCTTGATATCACCCAGCTAGCAAGGAGTAGAAATAGACTTCATCCTCCATCTGGCCTAGGTGTGTGTGTGTGTGTGTTCATCTGTCAGGGGTCCACCCCATCTGGCCTAGGTGTGTGTGTGTGTGTGTGTTCATCTGTCAGGGGTCCACCCCATCTGGCCTAGGTGTGTGTGTGTTCATCTGTCAGGGGTCCACCCCATCTGGCCTAGGTGTGTGTGTGTGTGTGTGTGTGTGTGTGTTCATCTGTCAGGGGTCCACCCCATCTGGCCTAGGTGTGTGTGTGTGTGTGTGTTCATCTGTCAGGGGTCCACCCCATCTGGCCTAGGTGTGTGTGTGTGTGTGTGTGTGTGTTCATCTGTCAGGGGTCCACCCCAGGTGTTGTCCCTCCCTCAGGTGCTATCACCTTGGTTTTTTTTTTTTTTTTTAAAGACAGGGTCTCTCTATGTAGCCCTGGCTGTCCTGGAACTCACAATCTGTAGAGCAGGCTGGCCTCGAACTCAGAGATCCTCCTGCCAAGTTCCCAATGGCTGCCAGGACCTCCTTTGTGCCTGAGTGGTCCTGATAGGTTTCTGAGCTCAGAGAAAACAGGGAGCCCATCACTGTATCTCCTGGACTCACCCAACCCCTCAGTGGACCCTGTGTGAAGACATCTGGTTGAACCTGCAGAACTCAGAAGACCCACCAGAAGGCCTGATACCTTACAAAGAGCTCAGACCCTCGCGATGCCTGGCCTAAGGAGATCCCTTTGCCCTCTCAGAGTGAGACTTTGGACTCTGGTCTTGGCCTGTTTCACAGGAGTTGGGAGAGGCTCAGAACTTGCACATTAGTCATTAGGCAAATAGTTTCCTTCAGCTCAGTGGCTTTATTAATGTGTTCAACCCCAGTGTCGGGTACTGGATGTGTGTGCGTGCATGTGTGCGTGCGTGCGTGTGTGTGTGTGTGTGTGTGTGCGTGCGTGCGTGCATGTGTGAAGGCAGAAGGACTCTTCCTGTCTCTGGGCCTCTGTTTCCCTCTGTCATACAGGGAGGGAGAGCTTCCCTGCTTCCTTCATCAGGATTCAATGAGGTCCAAGGCAGCAACATTCATGTTTGGCCTTCCCGGGCATACAGCACCCATAGTGAAGACAGTCCAGATGAGGTCCTGGCCTTTGAAGGCTCACTGTCTGTGAGGGAGATCCAAGTCTTGACCTGTCACTAGCAGGCCAAGGTGGAGCTTGGCCCTGTGACTAGGCAATATTCAAGAAATTCTCAGCCATGTTTGGCTTCAATGAACTCTATCCTAGAAATGGGTGGCCGGTCTTTGTGGGGTCAAGAGTGTTGGTGACACTCTCATTTCTGTGTAGGCCCCCTAAGATCTGCAAACATGTCAGTCCAGAAGGCAGAGAGCTGAGTGCTGCCTTCTCAGGCCTATGGAGGTCTTTGCTAAGAGTTAGCTGCCAGAACAGAGAAGGGCAGCCACCTAGGGCCTTGAATGACCTATTGACAGAGGCCTCCTAGGTCACATGACAAAGGCTGAAGGAGTTCAGAGGACAGGAAAGCCATGAAGAAGCATGCGAGGAGACGCAGGAGTCCAGCCAGTGGCGTGAGGGACAATCACAGCCGCTCTAGGTGTTGGTGTCCAACAAGGTCTCTGGGGAGGCTGGTCGATTCAGGGTCACACCGGGGAAGCTGGCGACAAAGCTCTTCCACCGTCTCCTTACCTGCTGGAAGACCAAAGTAGGGAAAATGACAACACAGTGGTGGCTTCAGGTGCTGTTCCACTCAAAGCCACCAGGTGGGGGTAGATCCATGAAAGAGGCTAGGCTCCTGCGGAAGGAGGCCGCTGCCACCTGGGACGCAGGGCCAGGAGCGGTGGGGAAATCTATTCTTCCCTGGTAAGAAAGCAGACAGTAACTTGCCAGAAGTCACATTGGCCAATCTCCTTGCCTTCTGCTCTAGTCACCCTTCCAACATAGTATTACATTAATCATCTTAAAACAGCTCTGAAAGGCTGGCATGGTGATACACGCCTGTATTCCCTGTTCTCAGGACACAGTAGGATCCAGGCCACTCCTGTCTCAAAACACACAGAGTTCTGCTGGGTGATGGTGGTGCACGCCTTTAATCCCAGTACTTGGGAGGCAGAGGCAGGGAGGATCTCTGTAAGTTCCGGGCCAGCCTGGTCTACAAATCAAATTCCAGGACAACTAGGGCTGTTACACAGAAAAGTGCTGTTTCGAAAAAACAAACAAACAAACAAACAAAAAAAAAAACCAAAAACAAAACGAACCAAACAAAAACAACAACAAATCCACACAAAGTTCTGACCATATCCTACCCAGGCTCTGTTCCATCCCTCCAGCCTTCATTGATTCCTCAGTGTTCGCTGAAAAAAAATCCCAGCTGCTTTCAGAATGCAATCAATCCCTGGGCATTTCACCCTGGGCATTTTGCTTGGCTTTTCTCAGGGCAGCTATGCTCTTAACCCTTTGTTGCCCTGGGTCCCCACTGTCCCCGTGGAACTGATAATTCAGTTTGAAGCCGTACCTGTTGGTATTGCCTCAGCCACCGCTGGCTGCCTTCTCGCTGGGTTTGGATCAGCTGCTCTGTGTCTCCCAGGGTTCCTGGCACCCGCTCCTGAGCAGGGACCTCCAGTCCTTCCATGCCATCAAGGCCCTGTGACCTGGACTTCTCCCGGCCCTGTCTGAGGCTCAGTGCCCGGTGGAGTCGGCCCTCCGGGGTCCTCCCCTGGGACTCATGGAGCTTCCCATAGCAAGACCTGGGTTCTCGAAAGGACCGACTGCGATGGCTGGTCCCCATGGTTCTAGAGGCTGTGACTGCTCTGTAACTTTGTGAGGTGGCCCCGTGTCTTTGCTCATATGATGGAGGGAGGCAAAGGTCAACGATGCTGAGGTGGCTGTCATAAACCAAAGGGCAGGCCACAAAGACAGAACATCTCTGAGTCATTTCTCCATTGTCTCCTCACCTGTGGGACTATACAGCCCAGGCTGGCCTCAAACTCATAATCTTCCTGAGTGCTGGACTGGCTTCAGTTCTGTTTCCTCCTCACTCTGCAGACAGACAGCCTTCTCCAATCACTCTACCCTTGGGGATCTTGGTCTCTCTGAACTTGGCCTTGGCCATTCACACCACTCAACTCATTGACATTAAGCAAAGATGTTTCACAGCAGTGCAGAGAACAGAACAGCTTCAACCTAGAACTGTCAAATTCATAAATACCAGAGTGAAATTGGCTAAGGCAGCAGGCTGGAACAGTGCACAGAGCTTGTTTAATGGCTACAGACTTTCAGTTTTACAAGGTGACAAGAGCTCTGGAAGCCAGTGGCACACTGAAAACCTGTGACTCATAGAGGTGTGGCTCATTCATAAAGTGCTTGTTTTACAAGATCTGAGTTTGATCTCTGTACCCATGTGGAAAGGTGGACATGCATCACACACTGTAATCCCAATACCAGGGAGACAGGAGTCTCCCGGCGACCTTGTGACCCCCTCGTTGAGTTGCATTGGTGAGCTGAGAGACCCTGTCTCAAAAAATAAGGTAAAGGCTGTTGAAATGGTCCCATGGGCAAAGCATTTGCCACCAAGCCTGATAACCTGAGTTTGATCCTTGGGACCTGTGTGATGGAAAGAACTCCTGAAGGATGGTCTCTCTCCATCACACATGTGTTGTGGCACTCACAGTCCCGCTCTCAGGAATACATAATAAACACACACACACACACACACACACACACACACACACACACACACACACAAACACAAACAAATGAATGTAATTTGAAAAATCTAAAAAGGTGAAGCCAGGCACAGTGGCACAGGTCTTTAATCTCAGTGCTCAGGAGTCACAGTCAGGGGAAATCTCTAGTCAGTTTGAGGCCAGCCTGGTCCGTACAGCAAGCTCATCTAAAAACAAAACAAAACAAACAAAAAGTTAAAAGTAGAGAATGACAGAGAGGCCAGGCGGTGGTTGCACACACCTTTTATCCCAGCACTCTGGAGGCAGAGGCAGGCAGATCTCTGTGAGTTCGAGACCAGCCTGGTCTACAAGAGCAAGTTCCAGGACAGCCCCCAAAGCCACAGAGAAAAAAAACCAAAGAGAAAGAGAGAGAATGACAGAGAAAGACACCTGATGTCAACTTCTGCCTCCCCCTTCAAACACATATGCTACACAGAGACACAAAGAAAAAAAATGATTCACAGTAAATATTATTTCAGTATACCAGACTTTTGACTTTTGTTTTGTTTTAGACAGGGTCTTATGTAGCTATAGCCCAGACTGGCCTCAAACTTGCTATGTGTCAGTGGATAATCTCGAATTCCTGTTCCCTTGTTTCCACCTCCTGAGTTCTTGGATTATAAGTATGAGTTACATGCTTTGTGTAGATAGTGTTAGGATGGAACACAGATCCTTGTACATTCTGGGCAAGCACTGTACCAACAGGGCTACATCCTCAGCACAGAACAAAAAAAAGAAAAAAGAAAAAAGAAAAAAAAAGAAAAAAGAAATGAAGAAAAGAAAGAAACAGGACAGCTCCTGGAGGTGTCAGGCGGCCTGGATTTTTCCAGCCTTAGCTTTGCCCTCAATAGTCTAGCAAAGCACATGGTTAAGATCTCAGGCTCTGGGGACCACTGTCTTCTAAGTGAAAGGCAGGTTCACTGCTTGAAGCTCTGTGACCTTGGGTTACATCAGCTGTAACAGGGTCAAAGAATTCAGGGCATTGTGTGGACTAACTGGGGTGCATAGGTCTGGAACACTGAAAATGCGCAATGAAAGTGAGTTGATGGCATGTCTTTTTTAAAGTTAATTATTTATTTGGTTTTTGGCTTCTCTTTGTAGCTCTGCCTGTTCTGGAGCTCACAGTGATCCTCCTGCCTCTGCCTCCCAAGTGCTGGGATTACAGGTGTGCACCACCACCTAGCTGATGACATTCCTTCGTGTGTGTAAACCTTTCTCTTACAAGTTTCCTCATCTGTAAGATGTGTTGTTTGGAAAATAACATGGCAGCATGAATGTGGAGTAAGGCTACACACAACAGCTCTCTAATGAGCACTGGAGAGTACTCCCTTGCTAAACGTTTAGTAATATTTATGTTTTTGAGACGTGGCCTCACACAGCCCATGCTGGAATTTAACTAAATAACGAAGGCAGATTTTGAGCTCTTTTATTTATTTATTGGCAAGATCTATGTAGCATTGGCTGGCCTGGAATTCACTATGAAGACCAAGCTGACCTCAAACCCAGAGATCTGCCTCTCTTAGCCTCTCTCCTGAAAGACGTGCACCACCATTGCCAGCTCCTTACAATATCTTTCAGATTTATTTTATTTTATGTACATGAGTATTTTTCTGGCAGTATGTCTGTGCACCACTTGCCTGCAGGTGCCCGCTGAGGCCAGAAGAGGCAGTCAGTCCCTTAGAACTGGAGTTATGGAGAATTTGTGGACCACCATGTAGGTGTTGGGAAATGAACCAGGGTCCTCTGCAAGAGCAGCTGCAGAGCTCTCTCCAGCCCCTTTCTTCCCAGGCCTGGATCTGAATGATACCTCCCAAGAAGTCTGCTTGACCCCTTGGTGCTGGGTCAAGCCCAATAATGCACATATCTACCTTAACCCTTCACTGAATATCCCCTGAAGGCTAGGAAACCATCATTTTTATCTTTGTGCCTTCAGGCCCAGACATGCTGTTAAATACTGAAGGCTGTTAGTTACTGATTGCCACATGACAAATTACCTGGAGAAGGAATGTAGGCCTTGCATGAGACCAAATGTCTCCTTTCTCCTCTTCCTATTTTTTTTTTTTTTTTAATACAGAGTTGAACAGCCCTGGCTGTCCTGGAACAAAGTATGGAGACCAGGCTGGCCTGAAACTCACAAAGACCCACCTGTCTGTCTCCCCAGGTGTGACTGAATCCCTGTACCGCCATGCCCTGCCCTCTTTGGTTTTACCCAGGTTCTGAAGCTAATCCCTCCCATGGATTTCATCTAAGTCTGCAGAGAGCTTAAATAAAATTTAGTGACTTAAAACAACATTAGTAGCTTAAGACATGTGCACACCTTTATTATCCATCTCTTTGTTCCTGTGGGTGGGGGAACAGGGAGTAGCTTGGCTGGTGCAGGCCTCTCAAGGGCTCCCACTGAGGCCTCTACAGTGTCCCCCAGAGGTCCAGGTGGAGGCCAGAGTGCTGCAAGCTCTCTCACTGGGAGCTGCTCACAGAATTCTATTCTTCAGGCGTTTTTAGGCCAAGGGCCTGTTTCTTGTTTGCTGTTGCCCGTTTCTGCTATATTCTGTTTCTTAGAAGCAAGTTGCCAGGCCCAGCCTGGGGTTAGTGGGGAGAGCTGCACGTGGAGGCTGTGGTGTGTAATTATTTCTAAAAATTTTTTTAAAAATTTAAATACATGTGGGGGTGGAGAGGCGCCCTGGTCCTGCCTCAACTAGATGATGGGACAGACTTTGTAGGCTTCCTATGGGGGGGGGCCTTACCCTCACCGTGGAGCAGATGGGAGGGGTGAACAGTAGAGGAAGTAAGAGGAAAGGAGGGAGGGGGAACTGGGATTGGAATGTAAAAAGTAAATTAATAAAAGAAGAAAAAAATTTAAATATGTAAACAATATATTTTGAGCATATTCTTTCCCTTCCCCCAACCATTCCTAGAGCCTCCCTACTCATTCAATTTTGTTCTTTCTTTAAAAGAAAACAACCAAAAACAAGACAAGGAAAAAGAAAATCAAAACAGACAAATAAAAATAAAAGAAAATCAATAATAGAAAACAAAGATGCACCCTCCGTGAGATAACCCCTCACGGAGTTAGATTTTTAGGTCACCCTACTCCGGGACCTAAGTGCGGTTGATAGATCCAGTGACTAGTTGTTTGGTTTTTGTTAATTTAGCACAAGCTAGAATCATCTGGAAGAGGGAACCTAAACTGCAAAAACACTTCCATCAGACTGGAACTGACTTCGGGAGCCGGGCAGTGGTGGCTCACACTTTAATCCCAGCAGAGGCAGGTGGATCTCTGTGAGTTTGAGGCCAGCCTGGTCTACAAAGCTACACAGAGAAACCTTGTCTCGAAAAATAAAATAAAAAGAAAGAAAGAAAAAGAACTGACATTGGGGAGCCCAGTCCACTGCATTGGTGCCGTCCCAGGAGAGGTGGCTAGGGTCGGATAAAAAAGCCAGCTAAGTGAGTTATGAAGATCCAGCCAGTTAACAGCATCCTTCATGGTCTCTGCTTCAGTGTCTGCCTCTAGGTTCCTGCCCTGCTTGAGTTCCTGCCCTGACTTCCCTTCATGACAGGATGTGGTTAGGATGTATAAGTCAAATAAACCATTTCTCCCCAAGTTGCTGTCTGGTCATGGTGTTTATCAGGGCAATGAGAAGCAAACTAGGTGAGAGGTGAACATCAGCAGCTCAGGTCACTGGAGCCACTGCACAGGCTTACAACTCCAAACCCAGGCCACTGTCTAAGTATAGGGCCTTGTTCTGTTTTGTTGTCTACGCTGGTCTGTGCTACCTGTGTAGCACCATCCTCCTGTAACCGTCTTCTCAAGGAAGGAGACAATTCTAGAGAGACACTTGTGCTAACGGCCCAGTGAAATAACAGACCCCAAAGAATAACATTGCTCTAGGAATCTCACACTGGGCAGAAGGAAAGGCTGAAGGCTGGGTAGGTGCTAGCCAGAGGAGAAGCCTGTCTCCCAGAAAGAGATTTCACAGAACTTTGGCAGTTTATCTGATCACTCCTGGCTTAGCCACCTAAATGCTAGGATTACAGATGTGAGCCACCATCCCAGCTAGGATTTTAGTTTCCTTAGTTCAAACAATTGGTGACAAGTGCCTTTACCCACCTAGCCTTCCCACAGGT